CTCAGGAACCCCTACCAAACACTGTCCTCCATGGGTAACCATTATCGCATTTGGCACATAGTATTAGACAGGTAGTTATAGGAATGTAGCTCCAAATTTCTTTAATGTTCCTTTCCTTTCTGCTAGGAGATAATAATAGTAAGTGGGTCTCTTCAGTGCTTAGAAAAGTATCTGGCTCATTGCTGGAGGTGCTCAATAGATAACTGCTGAGAGAAAAAAAATACATTCCGGTAGGAACAAACAGCATAAGTGAAGGTGGAAGATGAAGACAAAGACCACTGGAAAAGCTGCTATCAACATGATCACAACTTGAAGGGTCTAAAAAAAACGTCTCTGAACATCTTCTTACATGGGGATAAGTGGCCAATCTGGATCTCCTCTTGAGAAAGACAGAATTCTGCACAAAGCCAAGGGCTCATCCCATCCTCCTTCCTGGGTCTCCAGATTATGGTAATAGTGATTGCCCAACTTTTAAATGTGTATATTGTTTGGATCTGGTGCACCTTAACCGTTAAGCTGATACCCTTCTTCTTTAGCAGTTTGGAGAGGTCTTGGACATGAGATTTCCCCCAATGTGACTCATGGTTTAATTTCTTGAATATTAGTACCAACTGTGTTGTTTACTGTGGATCCAAGTAAAATTAAAGAATTGACAATTTCAATCTTTTCTCCATCTATTATGATGTACCTGTTGGCCCAGTGATGAGGATTTTTCATATTAATCTAGACTGAAGTTTGTAGTCCTTGTTTTTCTGCAGCAAGTGTTTTAAGTACTCTTCACTTTCAGAGAACAAGGTTGTGTCATCTACATAATGCATATTGTTGATATGTCTTCCTGTAATCCTCATGCTACAATCTTCTTCAAAAATTCCAGCTTCTCAAACAATTTTTCCAGCATACAGATTGAATATGGGGAAAAGGAATCCAGTTTGGATGTCCACCTTTCTTGATTTCAAACCATCCAGTGCTCCCTTGCTCTGTTTGGACAACAGCTTCTTGCTCTCAGCATAGGTTTGCATGAGCACAATTAAGTGTACTGGGATGCCCACTCTTCTCAATGCTAGACTAGTTTGTTCTGATCCACCCAGTCAAACGTCTTTGCATAATAAATAAAACATGAATGGATATCCTTCCGGTATTCTTTACTTTCAGCCAAGATCCACCAGATATCAGCAATGATATCTCTGGTCTGGCAGTCTCTTTCCATGTTCTGTTCTAGTAACTTTTTAATAATCTTCAGCAAAATTTTATTTATATTTGCTATTACTTAAATTGTTTGGTTATTTCCACATTCTGCTGGATCACTTTTTTTGGGGAGAAGGAACAAATATCGATCTTTTTCAGTCAGTTTGCCAGGTAGTTTGTTGTTGTTGTTATGTGCCGTCGAGTCGCTTGTGACTCATAGTGACCCTATGTACAACAGCTCTAAACTCTGTTCTGTCCTGTGCCAATTTCATTGTCTCCGACATACTCATCCTGATTGCCCCAGTCACCGAATCAATCCACCTCCCAGAGGGCCTTCCCCTCCTGCACCTGCCATCCACCCTCCCAAGCACGATGTCCCTCTCTAAGGACATGACCAAAGTATGTCAGATGAAGCCTCAGAATCATTGCGTCCGAGGAGCAACCCAGTTTAACCCTCTCCATGATGAATCTGTTTGTTTTCTTAGCAGTCCATGGCACTCTCAGCACTCTTCTCCAACACCAAAACTCAAAAGCATCAATTCTCCTTCTATCTTCCCTGGTCATTGTCCAGCTCTCTGATGCATAACAAGTGATTGCAAAGACCATGGCCTGTACCAGACATACCTTAGTCTCTAGAGACACACTGTTGCTCTTGCCAGGTAGTAATCTTTCAAATTTTTTGGCAGAGACTGGTGAGTATGTCCAGGGTTACATCCGTTAGCTGAAACACATCAGTTATTATCCTATCAATTTTTGAAGTTTTAGTTTTTTGGTCAGTGCCTTTTGTATAGATTGAACTCCTCCTTTCATTATTATTGGTTCTTGGCCACATGCTACCTCCTGAAATGGTTGTGTATTAGCCAATTCTTTTTGGTATAGTGATACTACATATTACAGTCATCTTTTTTTAAAATGCTTCATGCATTATTCAAGATAGCATACTGCAAAGTGAGACTTGAAATTTTCAGTTCTTCCAGCTTTAGAAATGTCAAACAAGTTCTTTTTTTTTTTCATTTTCTAGCTCGAGTGATGTGTACATTTTTTTATACTACTATGCTGTCTTCTGAAATTGTCCTTTGAAATCTTGTGTTTATATGTTTAGTACAGTATATCTTCCCTTTGTTTTGACCTCTGAGTGTTCTACTGCAATTTTCAGTGTCTGAGATCTATTTTGATATTTTTTTATTTCTGTTTGTAATAATCTTTTTCTTTCTTCAAAGATGACTTTTTGTCAATATGAGTATTATTGAAATATAGGCATCAACAACCAAAACTAAAGAAGAGAAAACTGAAGATTTCTACCAACTTTGCCTCACTTACTTTGGACATGTTGCTAGGAGAGGCTATTCCTTCAAGAAGGACATGATTCTTAGCCGAGAAAAGGGTTGACGAAGGAGCAGAAGACCCTTAACCAGGTGGTTTGACACGGTGACTATTTCAGTGGGCTCTAGTGTGTCAGGAAGTGTAAGGATGGCACAGGATAAGACATATTTCAGATCCCCTGTTCACAGGGTTGCTAGAAGTCATACTTGACAGCACATAACAACAACCAACTTTTGGAGCCTGAAATCAATTGCCATACAAGTATGATTCTTAATAATAATAATAGGTGGCTGTAATTTGAAAGTTGGACTCAAATAAGGACTAGTAGTTGGAGTTTATATACTTGGTAACAGAAATGAGACATCTACAACCAGGAGAAGATAAAATAGATGAAAGGGACCTTCTAAGAATCAAATCCCTATACACATCCAAAAACTTCTCCAACAGGGTGAAAAGGGAAGCCCCAGACTGGGAAAAAGTATTTGGTAATGAAACGTCAAATAAGGGACTTATATCTAGAATTTATAAAATTCTTGAGCACCATAACAAGATAAAGTTAAACAATCCAATTAAAAACATGGGCACAGAATATGAACCGACACTTCACCAAAGAAGACATGCAGATGGCCAACAGGCACATGAAGAAGTGTTCAAAATCCCTAGCTCCAAGAGAGATGCAAATCAAAACAACTATGAGATATCATCTCACCCCAGTCAGAATTGCAAAATTTAACAGAACAGCAAGCAACAAATGAGGGTGAGGTTGTGGAGAAACTGGAACCCTTATTCACTGTTGGTGAGAGTGTAAATTGGTGCAACCACTATGGAAGGTGGTATGGCGCTTTCTCAAATAGTTACAAATAGAGATACCGTTTGACCCAGCAATTCCACTAATGGGAATATACCCCAAAGTGACCATAACTGCCACCCAAGGAGGTATATGCACACCTATGTTTATCACGGCTTAGTTCGCAATAGCAAGGAGTCGGAAACAACCTAGGTGCCCATCAACAAACAAATGGGTAGAGAAGCTGTGTTCACACAGTGGAATACTATGCTACATTGAAAAATAAGGAACTCATACAATATTATTCAAAATGGATGACCCTGGAGGACATTATGCTGAGTGAAATAACTCAGTCAAAAAAGGACAAATACTGCATAGTGCCACTGTTGTAAAACAAGATTGACATTGGGATTAAGGGGAGATTGAGAAAGAGGGGATAAATAATGTATATTGCTTTGAAACAGATTAGGGAGAAAATAGTTTAAAAGGGAGATTTGATTAGGTATTATTGTAATGACAGGAGTCCAGAACAAAGGCTGCATAGTGGAGTGGACCTGGGGGGAGGAGAGATTGTAAAATAATTAAAGACTTTTTCTTTTGCTTTTCAAAGAGAAGCATGTACTGGAGGAGGGAAGGGGACAGGGAGAAAAGTGCAGCAATGAATGAATGGAAATCCAAAGTCTGTTAAATTTTCATTAAAATTAAGAATAATTTAAAAAATTTTTTTAAAAAATGAGGCCAGAGATTGAGAAATTGAATTTCATACAATCAATGAAGTACTCATTGCAAATATCTTGAATTAAAAACCCCCCACAAATGTTAACTCTACACAGGGACCTCATCTATGGACTAATCAGGGATCAGATTGATTACATTTATGGAATGAATTGTTAGAGAATAAGTTCTTCATCTCTAGAGAAAGGGTTGTAGGCCACATGTAGGAAAAACTCCTTACCTTTCTCTTATTTGAGCTTTGATGGGATTTAAGGTAAAATTGTTTTCCACTTGTAACCCTTTTATAGCTATTTAGTTTATCTCATTATGGGCTGTACATTGCATAGTTTCCACTTTATGTCATTATATACCTATATTTGAGGGGAACAAAATTGGATCCATGCCATGGCCCACTGATAGAGCTGAGTACCTTTGTTTAGGAAGCATGGGGGTGGAGTGAGTGCTTTTGAGATTATGTCAGTCAACTAGGTTTTCTGACTCATAGAAGTCAAGCCAAGATTCTCTGGGCCTAGGCTTTTTGCTGCAATGAGTTGCTTTGGGGAAATTAAAACTGCTGATAGAAAAGAGAGCGGTCAGTTAAGGTGAGAGATACTGAATAAAGAACCACCCACCATTGGTTTTTCTCAGTTCCTCAACGAGAGTTCGGGCTTCCTGTTGAACACGTTCCTCAATGCTTCTCTTGCCCATTCCGAAATTCCGCAGAGTCATGAGAGAGAAGCGTCTGATGTCTTTCCATGTCTTTCCATTGCTGAAAACGACTCCTGTGAAAAGGGGTAACAGAGCAGAACAGAAATCTTGGGCAAATTTGTGGATACTTGGGCAATTATGAGGCTTCAATCTCTGTTGGGCACTGCTTGCCATTTCTACTGCACACACATACCATTGTTTCTATTCGCCCTTTCAGCCACTGGGAAATGGCCTCTTCCAGAAAAGTCCTCTCCTTGATCAAACAAGGCTTCTTTCACTGCTTCATACCCATGCAAAACCACTGTGGGTTTCATACCCAAATACAAAGTGAATATAGGGCCATAGGTTTCTGAGAACTGGGAAAAAGAAGGAAGATGCAATTTTAGCAAAGGAAGTAAGTCTTTGTTCTATATATTGTGCAAAATTCACATTGATAATGTTATATAGTTAATGTTTCATTTTGATACACAAAACTTCAAATATTGCTCAATTTTATGCCTACGTTTTATCTTTCTGTCTCATTGTTGTTATGTAAGAACTGACTCATAGCTCAGAAGCTATAAATCCAGAGAAGATTATCTTTCTCCTGTGCAGCAACTGGTGGATTTGAACTACTTGCCTTTGGGTTGCCAGTGCACTCCCTACCTAGTAGGTCACCAGAGAATAAGTAGCCTAACGTACACTTTATACAATTGTATCAGCATTACCCTGCATATTAATTAGGGAGCTCTAGTGGCTTAGTGGCAAGAAGCTGTGCCTCAATCTTGAAGGCACATGGTTCAAATCCACTAGCTGCTCTGCGGGAGAAGGGACTAGCAACCTCCTCTCATGCTATTAACTGCCTCTGAAAACCCACAAGAGGGTCAACTATGGGTTGGTTCCAACTCAAAGGTACACAACAACAACAACATAGTAGTCAATGATCTCTAGAAAAGATTTACAAATAGTGTTGAAAGTAAAACGCAGTGGTAGGAAGTCAATTTAGCCTCATAGTGACCTTCAAGCAGAACAGACCTTCTCTGCAGGCTTTCGAAGGCTGTAAATCTTTATGGAAGAAAACTGAAGTTTCTTTTATGGACATTAACATCCACACATTTGAACCGCCACTAAACCAGGGACTTCAATGTGCCAGGCAATGAACTGTGCACTTGATCTTCATGTTATTGAAACTAATCGTTATGCCAATACATAGAGATTTTTTTTTAATTTATACTAGTTTATTTACAAAGTTTGAATGCATTGTTCTTCAGACCAAATTCGTCCAATTTATCTCATCCCCCCCGATCAAATTGTACAACCCCATGATTAATCCTCCCAACCACATATCCTCATCCCTCCACTTCCACTCCTTTACATCATCACACTCATTCTACAATAATGGTTTTGTACAATGTTTGTCCTTGTAGAACTAAATTAGGTCACTCCGCATAATGTTCTCCAGTACCTCCAAGTTAGGTAATAAATTACAACATCTTTGCTCCTCCATGCTGTGTAGTATTCCATTGTATGAATGTCCCAAACTTCTCAGTTCATTCACGTGTGGTTGGACATCTGGGCTCCGCTTTCCATGTTCTTGTAATGCTATCAACATTGGTGTACAAATCTTCATTTGTGCCTCAGTTCTCATTTTCTCAGGGTATATTCCAAACAGTGGAGTTGTTGTTGTTGATCGCCTTTGTCTCGAGCATGGCTCATAGTGAATCATCAACAAAAGGCCTGAAGTCCCTCTACACCCATCAACGTGTATCAAAGTTCACAGAGTTTCCAGAGGCATATTGTTTAGGAAGTGGATGCCATTCTTGTTTCCAAACCTGTCATAGAATGCTATTGGTTGAGTCATCTGTGATGCCTATGTACAGCAGCTCTGAATCCTTCCCTGTTCTGAGGCAGTATCACTAATTCTGACACACCAACCCCTATTGCCCCAGTTACTATATCAACCCATCTCATCCAGATTCTCCCTGTCTTGTGCTGTCTGTCTAGACTTCTTAGCACGATGTCCTTCTCCAAGGACCGATCTCTCTTGGCCATGTGCCAAAAGTAAATTAGGCAGAGCTTCAAAATCCTAGTCTCCAAGGAGAGACTTGGTTTCGCCCTATCCAAGAGAGACCTGTTTGTTTTCTTGATAGTCCATGGTATGTTCAAAACTCCTCCAGCGTCACAACTCGAAGGCATTTATTCTTCTTTTATCATCATTAGTCATTGGCCAACTCTCTGAAGCATAACAAGTAATTGAGGAGTAACTGGGTCATATGGAATTTCTATAGTCAGCTTTTGGGGGAAGAGTAAAACTGCCTTCCAGTTGTACCATTTTACAATCTCACCAACAAAGTATAAGAGTTCCTATCTCTCCACATCCTCTCCAACATTTAATACTTGCTGTCTTGTTAAACTTTGCCACTGTTCCTGGAGTGAGATGGTATTTCATTGTGGTTTTTATTTCCATCTCTCTTATTACACTTTAGGCGTATTTTAACCATCATTTATTGATAAAGAAATGAATTTCAGATACATTTAATTCCAAGTGCCCAACAGCTTAAATAGAAGACCCAAATTTGAACCCTGCATCCATTTCTGATGCTTAGTTTCCAGAGCACTCATTTGGACCAATACGAAGTCAACTAACTCAGGATCACCTGCAAATCTTTGCTGGTGGAGACTTGGTTCAGTGTAATAATTATAGATACTAAAAATCTGTTTTTTGGGGTTTTGGTTTTGTTTTCTTTTTAAAAAAAATCATCACTCCAGACGATTACAAGCTAACCCTGTTCAGATCTGTGGTTATTACCAACACAGAAAGAGAGTTGGCACAATAGAGACTGCACCAGGACAGCACACAATAACAAGTAGAAATAATTGTATATTATATATTGTTATGTCATATTGGGTCACCCACGACCCATAGCAATCCTATGTACATATTAATATAAATATTAATCTTATTTAAAAGTATATTACTTCATTTTTATGTTTCTAATAAATGACAGGCTTAAGACATCAATAGAAACAGTACAACATATAGGGACTATTTTGTTTTACAATGATTTAGCAATACTATATTTCAAGAAAGAAATTTTATTTAAAAGTTGAGATTAAATCTTTCTACATACATACTAGAAAAGTGTAAGGTATACTTACATCACTTAAAGATTTGCTGATATTCTTAAAATTGATCTGTAGGCTATTTCCGATGATGGGGAGAGGAGTGGGGCCAGGAGGGAGCTTCCCTTTCCCATGGCTCTGTTTCCAGAGTGAAAGGAGAAGCAAAGTGAAGACACACACCACCAGGACCACGACCAGATCCATTGCACCTTCTCTTCTTACCCAAGCACAATTGTTTTCCAATTCTGAATTTGTACAATACTCTCTGCTGCTGAATTTGTGATTCTGTTGAATAAAAACGATCAGTTGCTCAAATTGTAATAGTCTCTTCTGAGTGGACTTTGATTCACAGATAAGGATAAAATTAATCTGTAATTAGTCTTGTTCCTGGAGCATTGTGCAACCTACCTTGGACTAATAGAAATGTTGTTGGTTTGAACTCACCTAGCAGCTTGACATGAGAAGGATCTAGAAATCAGTTTCCAGTGTTCTGTGTGGTTTTGCTTATATTTAAGCAGCCTCGGCAGCTATACTTTTCTCCTTTCCATTATTGTGATAAGCATCTCTATCTCCAACTTTTACCAATTCTGTTTTTATACGTGTATATCATTGCCTTAAATGCAATTGCCATCATTTGTTGTGCTCTGGTGGACTTTTTAAGATAATGTGTTTCAATTCTAAAGGTGGATGTTTCGAATCCACCAGCTGCTCTACAGGATAAGAATGGACACTCTCCTTTAGTTTGATTTACTACCTCGAATAACCTGCTAGATGGTCAGTTATGAGTCGATCCTACCTGACAAGTAAACAACAAAATACTTCCCTTAGTCCATGACCTTTCCCCATAATCATACATATTTTGAGGACTCTTTGTTGAGGTTCACTTTATTCATGCCAGAAAACTATTATACTTTTCCTTTTGCTAAGATCTTTAAGTGAGAAGCCATATTAATCTATTGCTCTTGTTAGAGGTTGAGCTGGTTTTCAGATGTGTACCTTTGCAACACCACAGGAGCTCTAGGTTGGGGAGGTGCATTATGTGTTTGTTTGCTAACAGAAATATTGATGGTTCATATCAATCAGATCCTTTTCAGGACAAAAATTGGAACTCACCTCTCATAAACATTTAGTCCGGAAAACCCAATGGGGAATTGTCACCAGTATTAATTGATTGGACAGAAATGAGGTTTTGAGTTTAGAACACCAACGAGTTAAACTTTTAGCCTTTGGTTGTGGAGAGTGGATACTGTTTCATCAGAGATTTTTCTCTATTCCTGCTTCACTTCAACTTTACATTTTGTATTGCACTATATTCATTGAATTATGTAAATAACAGGCAAGCTTAAGACATAATTAGACTGACATGCAGCAGTACGAAGTCTAAAGCAGAGGATGACGCAAATATTTTCAACTTTAGACTTAAGCATACCTTTGTGCCTAATTCAGGACATCATCTTTCCAAT